TGCTGCCAGTTAGTTCTCCCTCTTTGTTTCCAAGATAGCAGGAACCCTACAGGAAGCCAGTAGAAAATATGCCACACCCCCAAATGTGTTTTCTTCACGGATTTCCCTAGAAGGCTGCCAGCCTGGGCAGTGGGTGAGAAGCCGCTCTGCTGGTTTACACATAGCAGGCCCAGCGCCCCACAGGCTCAGGGAGGAGCTCTGCCCTCACCCGGCCGAATCTCACCCTTGCAGGTGGCAGATCAGAGGACTTTCTGCGACTGGGAAAACAACTCAAAGGTCAGCCCTTCCCAGCAATGAGTAAACACCAACATCCCCAGTTCTGAGAGGGGCCCGCAGAGGTGGCCTCTTCCCTAGTGAGAAGTCCCCCGTGGCTAGTGATGGATTATTGGTCCGGGGGCTTCTGGACTTCAAAGACCAGAGGTTTGGTTGGATTCATCTCTGTATCCCGGTTCTTGGGACAGTGCCTGGCACATGGGTGGTGTTTGTTGAGTTGCCATCAGGGCCTGTCTCTTCCCCTGCCACTTTCCACACCTCCGCAAAGAGCTAGCTGCTCTTGGGCTGCTTCCCTCGGGTTTGACCCTCACCTCTCCGAAGGGGGTATCCTTTTGCCGGATCTGCACTGTGCATCCAGGAAAACGCACCCGATGAGAAGCTCCTGATGACTGGTTCACACTAATATTGAAAGCTTATCCCAGAAAATGTAGAAATAAAGGTGACTAATAAAATACAACAAAAATTCTATTCCCCTCCCCTTCCTGCTCTAACAGAACTGTTACGCTCCCCTGCAGCCATCTCAGGTGGGGAATGTTTTTTGTTTGTTTGTTTTTGAGACAGAGTCTCACTCTGTCACCCAGGCTGGAGCGCAGTGGTGTGATCTTGGCTCACTGCAACCTCCCCTTCCTGGGTTCAAGCGATTCTCCTGCCTCAGCCTCCCGAGAAGCTGGGATTACAGGCGTGCGCCACCAGGCCCGGCTAATTTTTGCATTTTTAGTAGAGAGGGAGTTTCACCATATTGGCCGGGCTGGTCTCAGACTCCCGACATTGTGATCCATCCGCCTTGGCCTCCCAAAGTGCTGGGATTACAGTCATGAGCCACCACGCCTGGCCCTGAATGTTTTATCTCCTGGAGTGAATGTCCTCTTTGCTGATGACTGCCTCTTCCAGGCCATTCTGCCACTAGTTTCATTGATTGACTAACCTCCATAGACCCTCAGTCTAGCAAGGAGACCACAATGATGCTTTGGGTGTCCAGGTATCCGTTTCAACTCAGACACTACATCGAGTAGCCCTCCAGACATCTGGGGATTCCTTTCTCTTCCGTGTATGGTCACCCAAATACATGGCCTTGGGTCCGCCTAGGGAAAGATTGGGGGAATCATTACAGTCTTTTCTCGCCAGTGCTGCCGAGTTCTTCCTTAGAGACCCAGCCGCTTCTTCAGTCCCTGTGTTCCAGGTCGGAAAACTGGCTTAGGTCCAAACAACTGAGCAAGGGACTGTCAGTTTGTTTGAGGGCTCTGGGCCTCCTACGTCTCCACTCGTGCCTCTTGCTGGCTGGAGACGTTAAGCGGCACCTGCGTAGGTTATCCATTTATTCTGCCCCGGGAGTTGCTGTGCTCTGCAGACCACAGCTCCCTGTGGGCGGGGCCCGGTTGGCTGCAAGACTGACTCTGCAGGTCATTGTGGTAATTGTGACCTCCTGGCATCTGGAAGCCGAAGGCCACCGCCTGGCCTCTATGACTGGGGGCGGAGGGGCTTCATTGCCATGGGTAGCAGTGAGCCCAGCTCTGTGACCAGCTCTCCTGTTTAGTGATGTTGGTGCCTCTCCCCTGAGCATTCCTGATGTTCCTGGCGAATCACGTGTTCTCTGGGCCCGCCCATCATACCTACCCACCCCGCACCCCCGGTGGCTCTTCCAGTCTCAGATGATACAGTGTGCCCACTCTCCTCAGGCTTTTATGTTTTCACTGCCATCTTCCAGGGCAACTTGGCCATTTCCATTGCAGCCATTGACACTGGCTGCCACTTTCTCCAGGCTTCTAAAAGCCACCCTTGAGTTTGCCTCATCACCTGGGGTCCTTGCCAGGGGGTTAAACTCGCATCCTGAGAAAGCGCCCCAAGGGAACTCTTGCTAGGCCCAGGCTCCTTGATTAAGCCCCCAGGGAGGAAGCAGCCAGCAGCGTGTGTTGAGGAAGCCACGGCTGCTCACTAACCTCCCACCTTGCATGTACTCTGCCTCCTTTCACTTCCTTTGTCCTTTACTCTTACTTTCCTGGAACTCGCCCCGCTGCCCAGAAACACACAAGCTTTGCCTCAGGCTCTGTTTTCTAAGGAAATTGGGCCAAGGCAGGGGTGTTCATGATTCCACATGTTGTAAGGAGAGGGGAGGCTCTTTCTGGCCCTGGAACTGGGGGTGTGCTCATAGTAAGTCCATCTAGCTAGGGATGAAAACAGAAAACCCAATGTCTATGGAAAAATACAAGGATGTGGAAGCGTAACATAAAGACTAAATCATTATAAGTTCAAAATATAATCCCTCCCTGAAATGACACAGCATTTTTTCACTGGAAGCAGCTGGGGGCTGGTGCTGGGCTGCCGCATCCCCAGGCAGCAGAGGGCAAGGAAGGAGAAGGGCAAGAGCTCGTACCACGGGGGTCCTTGGCTCACAACCTGTGCTCCATTTCTGTGTCTCTCGTGGTCCATAATACTGCAGATCCTGCCATGAGTAGGGGCGAGGGGAAGAGGAACTGGGCTCAGAACTGTTAGAAAGACTTGGTTTGGAAGAGTGGGGAGTGCTTATTAGGCAGAAGTTGGTGACCACCACACCAGCTGCCTCAAGATTTCAAAATCACAGGCCAGGCACGGTGGCTCACGCCTGTAATCCCAGCACTTTGAGAGGCCAAGGTGGGTGGATGACCTGAGGTCAGGAGTTTGAGACCAGCCTGGCCAACATGGTGAAACCCCGTCTCCACTAAAAATACAAAAATTAGCCAGGAGTGGTGGCGGGCACCTGTATTCCCAGCTACTTGGGAGACTGAGGCAAGAGTATCACTTGAACCTGGGAGGGGGAGGTTGCAGTGAGCTGAGATCCCGTCATTGTACTCCAGCCTGGCAACAGAGCGAGACTCCATCTCAAAAAAAAAAAAAAAAAAAAAAAAAAAAAAAGCTAATACTTGGGTCCCACTCGCAGAGATTCTGATTTAATGGGTCCAGGGTTTGGCCTGGTTGTCAGAAATCTTACACCTCCCCAGGTGATGGTAAAGTGCAGCTCAAGCACCGTTTTGGAGGGAGACCACTTCTGTCCCTGAGCTCCCTTGTCTCCGTCTGTCACTCTCTCTCCTGTTCTCTCTCGCTGTGGGCCGCAGCAGCTCGCTCCAGGCCTCGACCCGTTTGGGGAGTGAAGTGAGCTCTTCCTGCTGTGCCCTCCTGTTTACCGGCGCGGGAACTCGGGCTTCCACTTCCTCCCCGTGATGTGAGTAGAATGAATTCCAACTCTCCTGGCAGCAAGTTGCGTACAAAACAAAGCTTGAGGGAGAGCACTTTGAGTAGTCCCGAAAGCTCCCTCAGGGAAGACAGATAGGAGCAGAAGAGGGCAGTGTGAGGGGCACACGGCCACAATTCCATTCACGTTCTTTCGATTGTATCTAGCCAAAGAAAAGCCCTCACGGGGGAGGATCAACGGTTCGTTTCCCCATTGACAAGTCTGTGTCCACAACACTGGTCTGTTGCAGTGGTAGCGTGAGCAAGTAAAACCGGTAAAAGTTTTTCAAAATTCTTTGAAAAGTGAATCAATATTCTATCGGGCTCAGACAAACTATTTCTGCTGAGACCCATCTGGAAATGTGAAAAGCTCTTCGTAGAAGGAAATCGCAGTTGATCTGAATAATTTCTACAGAATTCTACATTCTGGACTTCCTGGAGACCTAATTGTCCTTAAAAAAAGAAATGGGATTTTTAAAGTGTATTCGAATGGAAAATCAGTCACAGACATCAGAGGCAGAAGAGATAGCTGCTTTTTCTTTAAAACAAAAGTAAATTGGGCCATCAGATTGCAATGGTAAAGTGCTTTTGAACCTGCCACATATGAAATGCTTGGTAAAGGCAGTTTTTGTTATCCAGAAGTGGTATTGGCTAGGAAAACCATTAAACAAAAGTCACGCTACTTCACTTTTTAAGGAAGTCTGGGTGCAAACGGCCACAGGTAAAAAAGCAGTGGTATCAGGAGTTTAGAAAGGACAGCCTGGCAGGGGCAGGGGCTGGCGTGAGGGGATGGGCAGCGACAGGGAGAAGCGCCAGGAGTTTGCTTCTCTTCTCTCTTTGAAGCCAGGCAGGACCCTAAGAACAGCCCGGAACAGGGGTTCTCAAACCTCCGTGTGCAACAGAATCACTCCCAGTTTCGGATTCAGTGGGTCTGGGGTGGGACCTGAGAATTTGCACACGTAAAAAGTTTCTGGATGGTGCTGACGCTGCTGGTCTAGGAACACTTTCAGACCCACTGGCCAGGAGAAAGAGAAGCAGAAAAGAAGGTCGTGCGATAATGCTGGAAAATCCACTGCAGGAAAGAGGCCCACAGGCTGTGTGAAACCAGACTGGGAACAGCCTCTTCTTTACTTTTCTTTCTTTCCTTTTCTTTCATTCATCTTTCTTTCTTTCTTTTCTTTTTTTTTTTTTTTTGCATTTTCTTAACTTGCAAATATATATATACCTTATTCTTTTCAACCAAGCAAATACCACAAGAAGATTTTATTTTGCTAAAATATGTTAATAACGTTTATTTTATTTTATTTTATTTTGAGAAGGAGTTTTGGTCTTGTTACCCGGGCTGGAGTGAAATGGTGCGATCTCAGCTCACTGCAACTTCTGCCTCCCAGGTTCAAGGGATTCTCCTGCCTCAGCCTCCCAAGTAGCTGGGATTACAGGCATGCAGCACCACGCCCAGCTGATTTTTTGTATTTTTAGTAGAGATGGCGTTTCACCATGTTGGCCAGGCTGGTCTCAAACTCCTCACCTCAGGTGATCCGCCTGCCTTGGCCTCCCAATGTGTTGGGATTACAGACGTGAGCCACCATGCCTGGCGTTAATAACTTTGTAAAATGACAATGACTGAAAACCATTTCTAGCCTCTGCGTCGGGGCCACCATGCCCACTGTGGTTCAAAACTCAGGCCTCTGAATTGTTTTTCTGTATCCTCTTCCCATGCCACACTGGCGGCCTGAGAGAGTTTCAGTGTCTTGGCGAACAGCGATTTGAAGCGGTATCAGCGTTTGGAACGAAACCGGAGTCTTAAGGCCAGTCGGTTTTACCACTGATTAACCATGTCGCTCCTCCCTCTCTGAACCTTGGCTTTCTCATCACTGAAAGAAGAGGTTTGGACAAGATGGTAAGCACGCAAATGATAATGTTTTGATGTTTATAGTTTATTTGGCACTTGAGCACATACGATATCAGTTAATCCCTATGAAATAATTTTTATTTCCTCCCTGCTTTTCACAGAGAAAGAGAATTGGAAAAGCACAGTCATTTTTGAGCACCAAGATAAAGAAGATGGCCACATTAAAACTTCTGCAAAAACCCCACAGAGGACCTAGTCCCTTATGTTACTTAATGTTCCTCATATAACAATTTACGTGAAAAAAATCCTCCTAAAAGTGCCTGATAAATATGTCCCTCCAGAAGATGTAATATGCGTCATTTCATAAAAGGCAGAATAAACTTTCTGACACCTCATGTTTTTCTTTTGTTTAACTGCCAGGAAGCTTGGAGCTAATTACGCCAAGATTATAATAACCACTTAAATCTCAAATTTCTGGCATTATCTCTCGTATCCTCTAAATCCTAATGCCTAAGTTGTCTTATGGAGACCATCTGTGAATAGGGGGATTGTGTAATTTATCATTGAAATGGGAGTCTTTTCAGAGAGAGCACACTATTAATAGATATGCCAGGTGACAGATACAAGCCAGGACTGTCCCAGGCAAACTGAGATAGGTGGGCACCCTACCTGTAATTGGAAACAGGTTTGCCAAAAATTATATACAAATAGCGGTCCTTTAGACCTTGTTGGTGCAGCATTTCGGGGTCTCATTAAACTCAGCAGAATCACACAGAGTAGAGACAGATGATAAGCCACAGGAAACAATAACAACAAAAGTTCTGAATGTATTTGTGGGTCTGGGAAGGGAACGGGTGAGCCCTCCTCCCGTCATGCAGCCCTATCCCACTTTATTTCCCAAAGCTTGTGCCTCCTCAGTACTATGGACATCGTGTCCCGTGGCCAGTCACAGCTCGGAGTCTTGCTCTCTCTCCCAGGCCAGAGTGCAGTAGCATGATCTCGGCTCACTGCAACCTCCACCTCCCAGGTTCAAGCAATTCTCGTGCCTCAGCCTCCTGAGCAGCTGGGACTACAGGTGGGAGCTACCACACCCAGCTAATTTTTGTATATTTAGTAGAGATGGGATTTCACCATGTGGGCCAGGCTGGTCTTGAACGCATGACCTCATGATCCACCCGCCTTGGCCTCCCAAAGTGCTGGGATTACAGGCGTGAGCCACCGCGCCTGGCCAGCTCTCCAATTCTTTATAGGAGGGACTTAGGCTGGGAAAATCTGTTTAGAAGGGAAGGGCAGGGGGACTTTCACCCAGAATTGTAAGGCACTTTACTGAAGACTGGAACAAATGTGATTGTCCATCTCAAAAAAATGGGGTGGTGTTGATGAAGATGATGAGACCCTGAAAAGTCACAGTCACCACGCAGTCGGCTCTCTCACAGAGCATGCCATCCAGCGTTTGCCTGCTCAGATCCTGCTGAGCTTTTCCCCACGCAGAGGACAGTACCGACCTCCCCACCTTTTCCCCTGGCACAGCCAGTTTAGCTGCTCGCACCCTCACTCCTCTGCAGACAGGCCCAGCAGGGCTGAGGCAGGAAGAAGCCGCTGTGCCGCTCCTAAGAACCAACACTAGAGGTCGCCCTTCTCCAGCATCAGACAAGATTCCACCGAAGAGCGCGCTCCCTCCAGCTTCCGCTAAAAACGCCCTGTGCCGGGCGGGCCCCCCGGCCCTCATCACAGGTGACAGCTCCGGGCGGACCTCGCAACAGGTGGGAAGGCGCTGCTCTAGGCAGAGGAGGAGGCTGAGCCCACCCAGCCCCAGCGGAAGCCCAAGGTTGCTGAGGGGAAGCTGAGCTGGGCTGGAGGCAGGGACGGGCCCATCCTCAGAGGCGTTTCTCCTGCCCAGCCGTCCCCGGTGGAGAGAACGTGTGCTCCAGGGGAAGCCAAGCGCCTTGGGATCCGAGGAGCTGCTGGCGGCTGGGCTGGGAAATACCGAATCGTTTCCACGAGCGATGGACTTCTGGGAGCGACAGAAGCCTGTGCAGCCTGCAGAGTGCGTGACTAATGTGTGTGTAAATTGTGAGGGGTTATGCATGCAGAGGCACGCACATTCATCCGTAATTGGCCTCTCATTCTCTGCAAATAGAGACCCTGTCTAAGGAAGGCTGGGTGGCCCGTAAGAGCCATCGTAGCGGGGGCTGCCTGGCTTGTCTGTGGTTCTCGCTCCCTTGTGTTCCTGGGCAAGCTTTTCTCACCAAGCCCTGGCTGTCTGTGTAAAAAGGGAGGGAGCTTCCAGTAGCAATTCTACACTCTATTTTTTTTTTTTTTTTTTTTTTGAGAGGGAGTCTTGCTCTATGACCCAGGCTGGAGTGCAGTGGCGCGATCTCGGCTCACTGCAAGCTCCGCCTCCCAGGTTCAAGTGATTCTCCTGCCTCAGCCTCCCAAGTAGCTGGGATTACAGGCATGCGCCACCACAGTGGCTAATTTTTGTATTTTTAGTAGAGACGGGGTTTCACCATGTTGCCCAGGATGGTCATGAACTCCTGACCTCAGGTGATCTGCCTGCCTCAGCCTTCCAAAGGGTTGGGATTACAGGTGTGAGCCACCACGCCCGGTTGATAAATCCTTTTTATTATTATTATTATTTTTTTTTTTTTTGGTGAGACAGTCTCACTCTGTCGCCCAGGCTGGAGTGCAGTGGTGCAATCTCAGCTCACTGCAAGCTCTGCCTCCCGGGTTCACATCATTCTCTTGCCTCAGCCTCCCGAGTAGCTGGGACTACAGGGGCCCACCACCATGCCCGGCTAATTTTTTGTATTTTTTTAGTAGAAACAGGGTTTCACCGTGTTAGCCAGGGTGGTCTCAATCTCCTGACCTCAGGTGATCCACCTGCCTCGGCCTCCCAAAGTGCTGGGATTACAGGCGTGAGCCACCATGCCCCGCCCAATTCAACACTCCTTAGTTTTCTAGTCATAACCTATTTTCACCTGGAAACCAGAAAGGCTGGTTCTATGTGCAGATGGCAATGCTGAGGTTTAGAGGTAAAATACCCACCTGAAGTGAATAGAGGCTGGACTACCCAGGATGGCTCACCTGGAGACAGCGCTCCCACACTGCACCTGGCAAACTGTTTTGTGCAGGAGCAATACTTGCCTCCCTCAGCAAAAAATGCAGGGTTGAAAAGAAAACTGTCTGAGCTGAAAAGTTTTGTTGTTGTTGTTCTGAGACAGGGTTTTCCTCTGTTGCCCAGGCTGGAGTACAGTGGTGTGATCTTGGCTCACTGCAGCCTCCGCCTCCCAGGAGTAGCTGGGACCACAGGCGTGTGCCACAGCTGATTTTTGTATTTTTGTAGGATGTGGTTTTACCATGTTGCCCAGGCTGGTCTCGAACTCCTGAGCTCAAGCAATCTGCCAGCCTTGGCCTCCCAAAGTGCTGGGGTTACAGGTGTGAGCCGCCATGCCACACCTGAAAAGTTTTAATGAGGCAAGGGAGTCAAAACAAACAAACAAAAACAACCAGGAGAAGTGAGCATTGCCTATCAGCCCCACGTGCGATCCCTCAGACGCCGAGGCTGGTTGCACCATCACCTGCCATGAGCCCTCCGACCCTGGCCTGTAGAGTGGAGAAAAGATGCCAACTGCTCCCCTCTACAGCACCCTGCACTTTTCTTCCTCCAGGCCCGGTGGCGGGCCTCAGCCAGCTGGTTACACACGAGTACGCGATGTGTCCAAAAATTAGCCAGTCTTGGTGACATGCACCTGTATTCCCAGCTACTCGGGAGGCTGAGGTGGGAGGACCACTTGAGCCTGGGAAGTTAAGGCTGCAGTGGGCTGTGACTGCACCACGGTAGTCCAGCCTGGGTGACAGAGTGAGATCATGTCTCAAAACAAACAAACAAAAATGAAATAAAACAACAACATCTATTTGCTATCTCACAGTTTCTGTGGGTCAGGAGTGAATACACAGCTTAGCTGGGTCTCGCAAAACTGCAATCAGGGTGTTGGCTGGAGCTCAGTCTCATCTGAGTCTCTACTGGGGAGGAATTCACTTCCAAGCTCACTCACAGTGGCAGAGTCCATTTCCTTGTGGCTACATAGCTGAGGGCCTCCATGTCTTGCTGGCTGCTGGCTGCAGGCTGCCCTCAGCTCCTAGAGCCTATCTCTTTCCTTGCCAAGTGGGGTTTCCCAACATGGCCCCTGGATTCCTAAAAGCCAGTGAGGGAGACAGAGAGACCCCAGCAAGATGGGCACTGCAATTTTATGTAATGTAATAATGTAATCATGCACATTCTGTCACCTTCGCCATATTCTATTGATTAGAAGCAAGTCACAGGCCCTACCTACACTCAGCAGAAGGGATCACACAAAGGCATGGACTCCAGGAGGCAGGATCATAGGAACCACCTTAAGAAGAAGTCCGTGACAGGAGGTGACAACTGGAGGTGATGCTTCTCCTTTGAACACCCACATCTTATGTACACATCAACCTCTGCATCATATTACAGTTATTTATCCATGTATCTGCCTCCCTCACAAGACTGAGGGCAAGAACTGTTCTGGCTCGTCTGTAGAGTAGGTTCCTAGCATAGAGTTTGGCGTATAGTAAGTCATTCATTTGGGATGAAGGGGTCAAAGGGTGGCTTGAAGGATGGATGTCTCAAAGGATGGATGGCTGGATGGATGAATAATGAATGGATTTATGGAAGGATAGATGGAAGACAGAAAAGGAGAAAAATGTGGTAGTAAAACAAGGCTGAAGGCAAAAACACCTGGAATGAAGGACTGTGGCCCTCACCTAACAGGGGCCACTGATGTGAAGAGAGAAGGTATCAGCAAGAAGTTATAGCCTGCTCATAGTGCCAGCCCTCGTTCCTGGAACTGCGACTTGGAGCCTTTCCATTAGGGCAGCCAAGAGACCGGGGCAGGACATCTCCTTTTCTCCCTTTCTCAGATCTTCCGTTTTCTCCCCAAGAAATGGGAGTGGAAAAAGTCATGAGGGATTTCTAAATAAGCATTCAATGTATGAAGACACCAATGAGATCCTGCAGGCTTCGTTTCTTGGGCAGATATGGAGGTAATTTCCTAAGAAATAAGCTGAAGGAAGAAAGCATTCCTTTGTAATCTTCTCCAAAGTTCTAGGCAAAGCTTTCTGATAACAAATACTTTCTAAAGGCTTCATGCAATAAACATTGAGCTTTGAGCTAAGCCTGCCTGGGCTCCTGCTGTGGTGCACACTGGTGAATACAGGTTGTTCCAGGTCTTGGCCACTGAGTGCAAGATGGAAGCCACATCACAGGTACATCCTAGCGCTGGAGGTAGGACCTCAGGTTGTCATTTCTCCAATGGGAAGGCTACACCGGGCTGACTTTACTGATGACTCTTAGCGTGTTTTCCATTCAGTA